GTGATTGATTAATACTAAAGATGTGCTCCAGTGTGAAATCTTGTTTTGTCAATACATGCAAGCACAAAATCTTTTAAAACATATTTTGATCTGTTGTTGCCTGAATTTATTCACAGTTATAATAATAATAATAATAATAATAATAATAATAATAATAGCATTTTGCAGTCAAACTGGCAGCATAATTGCCTAATGCAGCAAAAAGATCCAAGGTTTGAGCCCCCATCCTGGGACCTTTCTGCATGTAACCTGCATGTTCTTCCTCACATAGTCTAAAAACATGACTGCTAGGTTAATTGGTCTCTGTAAATGTCCCTTCGTTGTGACCGGTTGTGGGCCTCTGCGCTGCCCTGGCGGCTCTATACTCCCGCCCAAAGACCGCAGCACCAACGCCATCCCAGTTTTACTCCTGTTTGTTTCATTGAAATTTTCCAACTTTTAAAACCGAAAATTTTGCAAACCCTAATTAAACCCTCAGGCTGTATGTACAAACAGCAAAAATAAATAAATAAATAAAAATAAAGGGGAGGTGGGGTTGATCCTTATAGCAGTTTGATAAATCTCAAATGGTGTTTTTAAAGACATGTAGATTAATGTAATTTTGACCAGACTAAATATTTTAGACATATGATCAAACAAAGTACAGATTATTCAAAGAAGACACTTTGAAATTGCTCTTTACTTTAACATCAGATTACAAGCTTCACATCAGATATCAGTTACAGCGTCTTTAGCTAAATATGAAACTCAGCTATATATATATGTTTTTTAGCACTTGCGGTCCTGCCGCCCCCAACTGTATGCCGCCCTGGGCGTTAACCGGAACAAAGTGTCAGAGTGTCACTGTTGGCAAGTTGTTGTCATTGCAAATCATGACCGCTTTTGCAAAGCATATACACAACGTTTGTTTTAATGAGGGAATAGCTAATAAATGACGTTTCAATAATGAACAATTCATGCAAGAGTGGAAAGTGACACAACCAACCAAGGTCTATCCTACACCACCGAAGCGGGGACACTCGCACACACGCACACACACACGCACGCACACACACATCAAACACACACCAAATACACACGGCTGCTCTTCGTGCGCTGTGCGTCCGAGTGCGCCAGTGAGTGTGTGTTTTGAATTCAAATGCAGCAGCACACCAGAGCAGCAAATGCGGAGTCTGGGAAGAGGGAAGGAGGTGATGTGTTTGGGGAAAATGGGAAAAAAAAATGTCCTCAGGTTGGCTCCAACTGAGCCGTGATAAGTAGCCCACTTCAAAAAGGTGATAAAAGGAGATCCGTGCCAGATAATAAAAAAAGAAAGAAAGAAAAGAAAAAACGGAGAAGAAGAAAAACAAAATAGCGGAATGATTGCAGAAAAATCCACCTACCATATTTACTTCAGAGACCATATCTATGCTTGCAATGTCAATGTTCATCCCCACCGCCACAGGAGCACCTGCGGAGGAGAGAAGGCGTTAATACAGGACGAGATATGAATAATTCTGCCATCATGTAAATTTAACAGCTCCGTGACGCTGCAGGAGAGCTGTGCATCATCGGGCCGGGCAGCAGCCGTCACGTCTGACACCCACTTTAATTGAAATGCTGTTAATTTCATTTATTTAGCGGGGTAATCAAACATTGATGAGCGGGATCGATCACGTTAAAAAGCCTCTCATCAAAGCGGAATACGCTCATCATTTCTCTTCGCCTAATTGGCAAGGCCCATTTGACTGTGAAGGGATGATTAAAGCGGATTTTGCGATTCATTAAGCATGTATCGCACGTCGGGAGGGGCGCGAAAAGAAGAAGAAGAAGAAAAAAATTCGTTACCTCCAAAATCTGGCCTCAACCGAATGTCGTATCCTTTCATCAGCCTGTCCACTGTTTCCTTCACCAGAGGCATATTGCTCGGATCCTTAATATCCTTGACGCTGAGGAGGAGAATCGAAAAAGGTGAAGAAGAAGAAAGGGGAAAAAAAGCCCGAGATGATAAATATCAAACACGACACGCAAAGCGACACATGCAAAAATCAAACGTAAAAACGAAGCTTAATCGGGATTTACCTTTGAGCCCAGATGAAGGTCAAGAATAGGGAAAAAGTCAAAATCCCAAAGTGGTTTTCCCTGATCCTCCCCATCGCAACAGTTTTTCCGATGGCTTCTGGATGCGAGTGAGGAGAGCGCACATCCAACTTACTCCAGACGGTGCAGAGGAGCCAATGAGGGGCGCATGCGTGCAGCGAGTCCAAGATCAAAGAGTGGAGAGAGATGATGGTGGATGAGCCGTTTCCATTGCAGAGGAAAATATTAAAGGGACAACTGGATGTGCGTAATGAAGACGCGGGCATTAATGTTAAGAAAGAACAACAGAGCGACGTTTATCTGTGTTGTACTCTGCTTGTTTATTACAAAGGAGATGGTTTTGTCCACTGACAAGGTGAAGCGTTTCAGGGAGCAACTAGAATAAGTTTTGTTCCTTCTGATTTATTTGTTTGTTTAAAAAAAAAAAAAGGATATTTACAGACACCAATTCCAACATTTTTTTTCATGTAACAACAATAACAGAAAATGAATCCAACTATTCATTCAGTGGATCTTCTTACATGAATAGCGCCACTGGGAAACCCCTTAGAATTAGCCCTGTCTGTACCAGTCTATGTATTCAGCTTTTCATACAGGACACATGAGATGGTACAAATGCCAAATAAATAAATAAATAAATAAAGTGTTCAACTTCCGAGTATCACAAGCAGAATGTCGCTTTCATAAGTGGCAGTATTTTAGTTTCCTGCTGAAATGACATTCTGTCCTCCAGTTTTATGTCTGCTAGATTCCAACCAAAAGACACCGTAGTGCATTTGTTCTGGCAGATTGTGGTGATAATGGCATGGTGCGATCCATTTGACTATGAAAGTTGGGTTTTCAGAATTCCCAGTCAGAAAAACAACAGGAGGTCAGCATCCCAACTGGGAAAGTGGGAGTTTGTGAAGCAGCCTGGTATCTAATATGACTGTTTGCATATAAAATGTAATGAAGATGGCAGGTATAAAATGTTTATAAGTCATTACAAGGAGCTTGGACAGTATTTGAACATATTCACCTTCTGTTTTTAACAAAAAACAAATTAGGACAAATGCACTATTATCAGTTTGCACCACCAAGTAACTATAATAATTAGCAAATCTGACTGTTATTTATGACTTTACAGTAAACTGTTCCCAAATGGGTCAAACATTATTCCCACCTCTAAGTTCTGAGTTCTGAGACAAATTAAGCATAAAAAAAAATCAAAAGAAAATCATTTGCATGGCTAAAGCAGCGTGGGGCTAACGATTCTCACAAAAGAGTTGCAGCTCGTGTTTTCTTGTACACACTCTGATCTCAATCTTCAACTTTTTCAGCTTACATTTGAAATTTAATAAAAAAGTACAACAAATTTGGTAATCAGGCCACTGATTTTTAATAATCCCTGGAAATCTAGATCAGTCATATACAACACAAACAGGGTTTCAGAAAATTTCCACTTTTTGTTGTTCTTTTAAAACATTTTTGCCACCAACAAATGTTTGCACCTGAATATTAGAAACAGAGAAGGGTTTTGAAAAAATATGAAGGTCTGTGCAGTTTGGAACGCAAAAGACAGTGTTCACTGCAGAACATCTAGTTCTGGTTGGATCAGCATCAGTATGAACCAACTACAGTGGTACGATATACAGAGAAATCTTATTACATCCTTTACAGTCATGCTGCCCTCCATGTAATGCCACCCTGGGCAGTGTGCCATGCCCTTCATACCAAAATCCACCAATGTATCCAACTCTTTTCCGCAATATTTAGTGAGAAACTGCAGCACATCACAAAGTGTGAGTAGAGCAGCGAAGCTCCAGGGAGGAAAGGTGAGGTGGAAAACATGGTCCCACAATTCATTTTCCCATATTTTAGTTCTTTTTTTTTTTTTGAAGCAGTGAGGGAGGGGGATGTGAGCCTCTTCTAAACTGCCTTTGATCTTCTTGCAGAGACGGAGCTGTGCTTCTGTAGAGGGCAGGCCTCTGAAGGCATTGGTTCACTGTTGCATCACCACCAGTTACAGCCACCGCAGATTATATCTTTTTTTGATGCTGCCTCGGTCTGCGTGCGTCCCGCTTGCGTGAGGAGCATCTGTCTTGGACAGAGGGGGTCGCCGTGCACGGTGGGGTTGAAAGTGACCGGGACCCCTTTGTTAAAGGGCATCTCATCAGGTGCAGATCAGAAACGCAAGTGGTCAGCGCTTGCAGGCGGTGTGGTGAAGAGATGTGCAGCAGAAGGATAAATGAGTTTCTGATTAATTTCCTCTGTCAGATGAGAGCACAAGTGAGGGGAGGATGAGGTGATACAGGATGGATGGATGGATGGATGGATGGATGGATGGATGGATGGATCCTGAAGGTCTCTCCGGCTGCATGTGTGCTCCCCCTCCCTCAACGTCTTCTCAGTTTTTCAGATCCATTTCCCTGCAAGACCAGAAGACGGCACATCACAAACGTGAGCTCCCGTTATTCCACATTCAGAGAAGCTCTCTCTGCAGTGTGCTGCAGCCAGCTCTGCTTCGGCACTCTTCATCCTCACACCCTTCAAAAGTAGCAGCGTGGAAACGGAGCGTACCAGGGAACGGACGTGCCACAGCTGCTGCCATGCTCTCCATGTTGCCTCTCTCTCACATTAAACAAACAAAACAGCCATAAATATTCTCTGACAGCAACATGAGAAGCATGATGAGCAGATCTGCACTCCTCTGCGTTACATAACAGATCTCCCCCCCACCACCCTGTCTCTTTTTTTCTCTCTCTCTCTCTATCTCTCTTTTTCTTGCGGTCTTTTTTACACTCTAGCTCCCATTTTCCTTCTTGGCCATGGAGCTTTATGCTTCGGAAGTGGCTTACTTATGAGTGCAAAAAGTTGGTTCATTGTGTAATAAACTACAAAGTGAGCTCTGGTTGGTCTTATTCCCCACAGAGAAAGTGTGTTATTAAAAAGGGGGTTTGCCAGCCTGCAAATATGATGCATTGCTTCCTTCTTAAATTAGCTGCAAGCTCCATCCCCCTTAGATGATTAAAAAAAAAAAAGAAAAGGCATTCGTAGTGTCGGTGCAACCTAACATCATTCTCCTCTGTATAGCTCCAGCTGGTTTTGGTGTTTCAGCGTTAGAAATAGGGTCAAATTGAATGACTAATTGAAGTCTTTGACTTAAAATCCCACAAAGATTTTTACACCACTAAACCTAAGCCTTATAGATAACAATAACAACAACAAAATACAGCAAAGAAAATTCACTTGCTGTAAGCTTCAGCTCCAAATGGGTGAAAAGCAGTCAGAAGAAGGGCAACATAGTTTTCAACTGGGACATTTCTCAGTGCAGGTTCTTGGAAAAGCATTCTTATATCTTTATCTCCACCACATTAACTCATCCACAAACATCATCATTAATAAGACTTGTGCAGCTCTGTAATTGTCTTCCTGATATCTCGGCTGATTGATTTTATTTTCCCGTTGTGTCAAACAAGAGAGCAGTGTGTTCCAGGCGTGACCTGAAAATACATCCACAGGCGTGCCTCCAAATGTGACATCAATGATTTTGAAGACAATGATGAACGAGGCTCTCATTACTGTGGCAATTAGCAAATAGAAATGATTTTCATCATCCCAACAGAACCGAAATAAGGGAAGTTTGATCTGATTCAGCTTAGGACAGTGAGAAAAAAAGAGTTTCTGTGTGTTTTTGTTAGATGTATGTACATTTCTGGTCTGCTAATCACAGACGCTGCCCATCAATTTGAGTGGGCAATGTGCAAAAAAAATCTTTGTCTCTGTATGACCAGCTGAGGTAAGTGAAGTGAAGTCAAAGTTTATGAGTGAATTGTATATATAAAAAAAATCTAACGCAGAGAGGCTCAGTATATCTGCATTCCACCCTTTTTAAAATTGTCATTTGTAAAAAGTTTAAATTCACATCTCCATTCCTTTTCACTTCCCAGTAATGTAATTTTTGATGGTCTGTCATGCAAAATACATAAAAAAAAGAAACCCTGAAACTTGGGGATGTAATGTGACAACACATTACAATGTTATGAACTGTGAGAGAAACCCGCCATATTTTAAATAATGTCTTCTTATTTAAAATATTAAAACTAATTTACATTATCCGCCTTGCCTCTTGTAAATCAGCTTCTTGATCATAACTTGTTTGGCTAAATCAAACAAACATGCAATTCAACTGTAAAAATCTAAACTATCCAAATTGTATCATAAAAAAAATAGAATGACTCACGTTGCCGACTCAATGGTTTCTTTGGTCAGATATATGTACCAATACACTAAGTTGAAAAGGGCAAAGGTCAGAGGAAAGAGGATGCGGGCGTAGAGGTCAATCGGGCTTGTTCCGGCAAGCTGAGGGATTTGAGGAAAAGCCGAGCCCTGCTGGAGGAAAATGGGCACTGGGGGGATATCTCCAGCATCGCTGCAGCTCACTGAGTGGTTTCTCCTCTTCAGGCTTTCTCGGTGGCTGCTGTCCGTCTGAGAGGAAGGAGGCAGGAAGATTAAATTGGTGAAAAGTTGAGTTTTTGGATATCAATAAGAGAAAAACAGTAGAAACAAACAATGCACTCAACATGAGTTGAATTCTGCCAGTTAAATTCACGTATGTTAATAACATTCAAGCATCTCTGTAGAGCGCAGCAGGTAGTTTTCTAGAAATTCATTGGCTGGTTTCAAAGCGATACAGAGAGTATTTGGATTTGTACTCTGTTCTCACACTGAAGCTATTTTTGAAACATCCAACCATGAGCTTTACACGTGAGACAGATCCCAGGAGGACGCTGTGGTGGCTTATTGTATTAGCATAAAACCTGTAGCTCCACATGAAAGCACAAAACAGCAAATTTGTGTTGCGAGGGACCCTTAATGGGGTCAATAATGGAATCGGCATGATTTGGAAATGCACAGAAATGCTTATTTGCGTTCTGATTTGTATTCTATGCCTTGTTTTAAAGCTCTTGTGGAGCAAAAAAAAAAAAAAAACTCTGCAAACTTTCCACCTTTTGTTACTTTGCAGATGTATATCAAGAATAAGTATAACGCACAAATATTTTAAATGAATTTACATAATGTTTAGTCTGGAAACTTAAAGATTTATACTATTTTTATTTCTTGACAAACTTAAGGATTTCTGACTATTAATATAACTTGAGCAAATGCAAAAAAAAAAAATAAATAATTTATTTATTTATTAAGGAATAATGTTCGACTATCCAATCCAAATCATAAAACCAAAAAATACGTACATCCAGTGTTTGAACCTCCAGTTAACTTAAATGTTGTGAATTAATAAGTAACTTTAATCATTGCCATCACATTGGCTTTCCCAATAACAAAATGTTGGTGTATGCTAACTTCTGAATTTAAAGAAAATAATACATTTAAATCTAAATAGAATTATTACTAATCCCAAATCCAGAAATTATTGGTAAACATAAATAATGTTGGTCATTCTAAATGACTTAAAACAGGAAAAGATTGTATTTAGTATCAGACAGTAAGAAAATCAGTTTTCTCTCTTTTAATAGACTGTATGGAAATAAATTGTGTATTCATGAAGGATGGATGCTTCATTTAGTGACAGAAGGAGCCACGGCTTCCTGCTGTCATTCTCTTCAGTGTTTTTGGATTCAGCTACAGGATATCTGTCTCGTTAAAGCCTCACTGAAAACTAAACAAAGTCATCCATCTTTTAATGTCACGAAATTCAACTACTAACAGATATCGTGTCGTCATCGTCACTACCAGCGGCCAGCACCTCCAGCCTGTCTTGTCTGGCTCTCTGCTTCTTCAGGCGGTTTGCCTGCAAGGTGGCAAAGTAGTTCACTGCTGCAAACTCAACGAGGGCGGAGGCCACGAAGGCGAAGCACACAGCGATGAACCAGTCCATGGCTGTAGCGTAAGCCACTTTGGGCAAGGACTGCCGTGCACTGATGCTCAAGGTGGTCATGGTCAGCACCGTGGTGACGCCTAAAGGAGAGGCAGATATTTGTTAATCAAGCATGCATGAAACTTTATTGGCCACAGTCATTAGCAGACATTAATTGCATAACGATGCCGACAGGAAGGGTGCACACCAGCGACGGTGCGTGCTGGAACGGACTCTTTGTTGATCCAAAAGGAGACCTGCGACAGCACAACTACCATGATGAGGGGGATATAGGTCTGTATGAGGTAGTAGCCGGGCTTTCTCTGGAGAAGGAAGTGGACCACCTGCACAGAATAGTGACCTGGAAAATAAACGCGACGTGTGAAGTTAGAAGTGCTCAATAAAGAGCAGAGCAGTACATGATAACAACTCTGTTCTCTTGTAAAAAAAAATTATCTTCTGAACCTTAAATCTTTGTTGTATTTAACAAAACTTGAATACTCATTTGGCCTCTTATTCAAAGGTCTTGCATCATGTATGAAGTGTGAAAGAAGAAGAGTAATCTCCTCACTGATAGGATGTGTTACCTGTGTTTGACCTCGTTATCTCACTGGACAAGATCTGTCCAACCAGATCGTACTGCAGAAGACTTATTGACTCTTTGGGACAGTCGACAGACCCCGCTAATCCTTTCCTCCAGGTGAAAATAATTTCACTGTTGGTGTACGCATCTAAAAGAAAAACATGCTCATTCAATCAAGTGTAATGTCTAAAACGGTGGCAACTAAATGATGCTTGCTCTGTTGAGAACATCTGCTGTACTCACAGCTCCCAAACCTGAGAGGACAGGCATGGCCATCCATGGGGAAAGCCATGAGGTTCATTGGACACTCTGCACTGATTGTTAGTCTATAAGCAGAATACAAACACAAAAGACTAAATTCCTATTGTTTTCTACTGAAATATGCTGCTACTCTGTTGCAATATATCCAAGCTCAAGTACAGATATCTTGAAAACAAAATAACACCTCATGGTGTAGAGGACAGTCCCATTCTGCATTATACGGAAGAGCTTGTTGGGCGTGGTCATATTATGGGAAATGGACTTCTTTGAATTTCTAAAAAAGGTGTCTGGTGTCCAAATCTTGTCCACCATGCGGTTGTTAAGGCGTAAGATTTCAATGGGGCCCTCAAACTTCAGCCGCTCATCGACCCACATCTGACGGAAGAACATGTCCATGGTGTATTCCTGAACAAAAACACCATTAGTGGACAAAAAACCCCAGATATTTTTAATGACCCCCCTAACTCATGGCTTTATTCTATAATGTGCATAGAGCTTTCAAATTGCAGTGAAAGGTGAGGGGAGATAATGAGCGATGATGGATGCCACTCATCCCACATAATCATGAATCAATCCATTCGGCCATTCTCGCTGTCTGACATGTTGTCATATTGATTTCAAGGCCATCAATAATGGAGTTATGGGGCTAGTCAGACAAATTAAAGCTTATTAGATGGTCACATGGCAGATGGTCACTGAGGCACCCTAACAGTCTGCACATATTCAGTACTGAGCAGACATCTTGAGTCATCATTCATTTATTTAGATTTTGCTTCAGAGAAAACAACACTTCTTGTGATCTAACAAAGTTGTGTGGATGGAAATCTATCCAGCCGTCCTAAAGGTCTTTTTAAGTTTTGCTTGGGACTTTGACTGTTTTACTTAAACCTGAACACTTTTATAGGAATGTTTGTATCTGTGAAACTCATGTTGTGTGTATAAATTCTACACAAGTAAGAATCAATTGGACCTTTCTATTTTTACAGCTTTAAAAAATATACAACATACAAAGTCTAACCTCACATAATCACTGTAGAGTTTTAGTTAAACATGGTTATTTATTTTTGGGAAACATACTCTAACCACCTCCATCACCACTGAATGAATTCTTTAGACAAACTTTGAATTTGTCCATAATCGCTGTAGCTACAGTAAATATCTTTGGGTGATCATTTTTGTATTATAAATTGTACAAGAAAAATACAACGTGTAGTATTCAAAAATAATATTTTTTGCAAGGCATAACTTACCATCTCAACATCTGAAACAGGCCCAAAACTGGTAACAAAGATGTCTGTTTTCACCTCTGTAATACCACCTACAACAATGACAGACAAACCACCAATGTGTTATGCATAAAAGGCACAACACAGTAACTGGGGAATGTTATATTTTTCAGATTACAAAACAAGTTTTGTAATTACCTCCTGAACCGGGTCGCAGTCTGTTGTCATAGCCATCCAAAAGTCTATCCAAAATGCGAGTGATGTTGTCTGAGTATACTTTTTCACCTCCTTGTGCATTAGCTACACTGCATAGACATAGAGATAGTTACACCTTAAATTCCCTTGTAACAATTTTAAATTCAAGACTCACCTAATCAAGCAGATTAGAGCAGCTGCGGATAAAGGGGCAGCAGCCATCTTCAGAAACAATTATCAGTTTTTTCTGTAATTTTCTAATCAACAATAAAATATGTGCAAGAGAGGTTCTCTTTTCTGTGTTGCTATAGCGTCTACTCAAGAATAGTATGCAGTGAGACGAGAACAGTAATCTAATTAACAGATTAGTAAATCCACTCCATTTTTAGACAAACCGTGGATTCGCTTTATAGCTGTTGAGAGAAAATTACAGCGTCATTTAAATAAGAAATAAACACCTCAATTCAAGTCTAACTAACAGAGGTCAAAGGTTACTGAGAGTGTCCTGTTAATGATGCATCGGGAAACATGAACGTACGTGCAGTTCGTGCAGTCGGACAGCAGGGGGTACTGCAGGTAAAATAAATAAATACACGACTACACTCAACCGGAAACAGATGGAGAGGAAGAAGTTGAAGTTTGTTGTGATTCCGGATAAAAAGACCCGCACCGGTGACCAGTATAACCAGTAAGCGTTGTCAGGCGCTGGGAAGCGGCAGCATGTCAGTCCACTTTGAGGAGAGGAGCGGGGTTGTCCCGTGTAAGACACCGTGGGGGTCCTGGTACCAGACCATGGAGGAGGTCTTCATCGAAGTCCATGTGCCTGCAGGGACTTCTGCTAAAGAGGTGAAGTGCCGCTTAGGAAGCAGAGACATCGAGCTGCAGGTCAGAGGGAAGGAAATATTCAAGGTAAGAAGCGAGGTATTCGTCTCATAGAGTAATTATTTTCTTCAGTTAGACAAGTTTAGAACCATCCTAATACACATTTGGGTCTGAAGGTACAAAAGTACAAAAAATTAACCATAAATAAGTGTAAAAAAAATGGCAATAATACAAAAAGAAAACCATGTAGCTAAAAAAAAAAAAAAAGGAAAAAAAATAACATTAAAATGAATAAAACCTTTAGGGCCATGCATTTCTTGTTTAAATTCAAGCAAAAAGAAATCCTTAGACACATGCCAGGAAAGGGAGTAAAGTGTTAAAACTGACCCCAGCGAGTTCAAGTACAGCCACAAAAGAAAAAAAAATCTGAACGTTTGGAAAAAGTTCAGGGTTTTTTTTGTCACTCATTTCAGAAACTGAAACTCGTAGATTCATTCCGCATAGAGTGAGTCTTTGTTACTTTTCATTTTGATGATCATTGCCTACAGACGATGAAAATCCATTATACCCTCTCAGAAAATTAAAATGTTATAGCATATTAACAGAAGGTTGAGTGGAAGGAAAAAATGTGGTAGTGAAATGTGGACCAGCAACAGCGATGGCCGTAACCTTGAAAATCGCGTCAAGTAAAATCCATTCAAGGATTTCTGGGAGTTTCACAAGAAGTGGAATTACTTTTAAGATGCCTGACCTTTTTAAAACACCTTTTATTGAACTTTTTGTAATATTCAAATTTTCTGAAATACTGACTTTAAATTTGTATTATTTCTAAGCCATGATTGTCAAAATTACAGCAAATAAAAAAAAATCATCTTATGTGCATTGTTTTGATATGAGTTTGACTTTCACAAATAAGTAAGGAAAGACAGTTTTCTATTTTTTGTTAGCCTTTTATCTACATATTTCACATGATTTATAAGACCAGTTTACACTTTTCTATTTATACTTGTAGTAACTTGTTACAACCATCCGTTAGTCCTAATGTCATACTAGTTTTGTTTGCTGCGTGAAAACATAACGTATGCGTTTTTCATACCAGGGAAGGTTGTTTGACATGACCGTGTCTGACGAGGCCACATGGACGCTGGGTGAGCTGCAAACACCTCAAAACGTTCACCAACTCCACCTGAAGTTAATGTTTCAAAACATCCGTCCATCCTGATTTACTCTCTTTCCTTTTCAGAGGACAAATGTCTAATCCGGATTGTCCTGATGAAGACGAACAGAGAAGCAGGGAACTGCTGGACCTCGCTGCTGGAGAGCGAGTACTGTGCGAATGCCTGGGTCCAGGACCAGATGCAGAGGAAGCTCACGCTGGAGCGGTTCCAGAGAGAGGTCAGTTAGACCCAAAACCACTCAGACACACACAGGGTGCTGCCAGGACAGCGTAAAGGGGAGACACACCTTTAAGTAAAGCATTTTTTATGAATGAAAGAAAACGCTTGAATGGTAACATAATACTGAAGATTAACTACACAGTTATTATACAAGATTATTACACTGAATAACAGTGTCATGCAAAAGCATTTGTACTTTTTTTTTTTTACCCTACTCCATCCTCAAGTCTCACTGAGATGGTATCAGTGCATCTTTAAAAACTTTAATAATCCTCTAAAAGTTTCTTTCCAATTCATAGATTCTAACTTTAATCTGGTCTATCACAAGAAATCCAATAGAAATATGTTGGATTTTGTGGTTCTAAAGTGACAATATGTGAAATAGACATGGTGTAACAGCTTTTAGATTTTTAGTTGCAGATTACACACAATATTTTTTTAAGACTGTATTTTAACAAAACCATGTAACTGGAAAAATTGTTGTCAGAAATAACCTTAAAGTGAAGAAAGATTTTAAGATCATGCATTTCTTATTTAAATGCAAGCAAAAAAAAAGTTGCCAAAAATATCCATGTTGTGTGTACATCCATGTTAGCCACAATGCTTTAATCTCTACAAGGAAAGGCTAGATGGACTAAGATTTTCACAGGTTCAATGGGTTTTATCTTGTAACCCATTGTAAATTTTAATTTACACCAGGTTTGCTTATTGAAAAAGCTAAGTTGTTGCCAACAATCGTATGATTCTGGCATTTTTTGGGGAAGGGCAAAAGCACTTTTGCTTTTTGAATTTTAAGTCCTACTTAACATTAAAACAATCTATATACACACACACTATAAAAACTGTTTATGGTTTAAAATGTATTCCCTGGCTTAAACCATCAACTGTATGCGACTTTTTTTTTTTTTTTTAATTTGTCTAGAATCCTGGATTTGACTTCAGTGGGGCAGAGATTTCTGGAAACTTTGCTGGCGGAGGTCCAGATTTTTCCAGCTTACAGCAGTGACAGTCTCCTCTCTCCTGACTTCCAGCAGCGGATCTACTTTATTTTTCCTTTGAGAACAGGAAATCGGTTCCAGCCAGACAGATTGACCATAATGTGGAAAAGTTAGACTCTTCACAGCAGTGTCTCCTTCTGGATTGCCTCAGTCACAGGGAACTTTTTGTAGACCTTGTTTGACAAGTTGTGTTGCTAAAATACGAAGAATCAAGACTACTTGTAAAAAAAAAAAAACACTTATTGCCTTCTAATAATGAGAATGCACTCAAGTGTAGCTTTTCAATAAATTTTTATTGAAAGGTGCACAAACATAAGGTCAGATTGTGTATCTCTTTGACCATTTTGAACTCCAGAACACGTTTTATTTCTCCTCACTAATAAAATGTATTACACTGGGAAATTGGTAAAGAAAATGCAAAACAAGTTCCGACCTACATTTCCACGGCAGTGCCCACTTTTCTTCAACTATAACCAATCGAGTTATACTGTGGAGGCTTTGTGCGTCCAAATAACTGACAGGATCGCCACCAGCTTCACTTTGCTGGTTAAAAACCAGACTTCCTTCGCCAAAAAACAAAAAAAAAAGTCATCACCTTGGGTAGGAGTGTGCATTCAGGACAGCTTAGCAACCTAGGGTGAGAGTTAAGGATTTTGGGCCCGATTTCTTGGTTCCATTTTTGCTGATCACAAAATCCTTCTCCCTCCTCTTCCACATGGTGGACTGAGGACCTAGGTGGTTCAATACTTTTAGCTTAAAACCAGCAACCCATACCAAAATCATCTGGGTACGGATTAAAACAAGAACATACTGTACACCTGTGCAGGCAACTCAACCAGGAAAGTATAACTTAACAGGATGTGGGAGGGGTGGATTGGCTGATTTGACAAAGCAGTATTCCTTGTTATTGGAAAAGGTGGGGGGGGAAAAAAAAAAAAGTTTCCTAAAGGTTTCATATTTTCCTTAAAGAAATTCATTATCAAGAATGAAGATCTGCAAGGAAAACTAAGTGGACGACCATACAGCAGGAATTTCTCCCTGCATGCAAGGCCATCCGTGCGCCCGATTTTCAACAGGCTGACTCGGGGATGGTGGGAAGATGAGTGATCTTGTAGTAGCTGTGCTTCAGCTGGCGCGCGGTTCTTCCCGAGATGGTCCAGCGGAGTCTCTGGCTGTTCGGTCTGGAGCATTTGGTGTTGGCGTATTCAGCCAGGCATTTCCCGACCAGCGCTCTAACACACACCAGGTCTCCGTCTCTCACCTATCCACATGAACGCACGCCAGAAATCAGTACACATGAGGTCATACTGCATTACTGAGCAACACTAGATTTATCGTTTCCAGTAGAACTCACATTCAGCAGGTGCTGCAGATTTTTCAGGGCCTCAGATATTTGGGTCATGTGTTCAGGGTCGTGTTCTTCCTGGGCCTCGAAGCACAGCAGAGCCAGAGCAAGAAGAGACGGCTGTGGAGAAAATATAAATAAATGGAGATGTTTTCACAGGGTTGCTACACGGTTTTGTTTCCCAAGTTGTAATTCCAAGAATTAAGACTTCTCAGTCCTTTACATCCGTCTTAAAATATAAACATTATGTGCATTTATTGGAGATGTCTGTTCAGAGGGCAGGGTTTGCATTTGCTACCAGAGGAAAAACTGGAAACTGGACGGACAAAAATAAATGAAAGAAAAGAACGGACACAGTGGAGAGATGGAATAATGGGTACATTGTTTAGGCAACGGATCATGCAACAAAGTCTGGTAATACAAATATTTTCCCTACTCTTATGTACATTCATACTTAAACAGATGTGGAAAAACACAGAAATCAAATTCCAGATTTTTTTTTCCAGTAAGGACCTCATGCTCATCAAATAAATGCAAATAAAAAAGAAAAGTTCGATAAAAACAGCAGAGACCATTCAGTCTGTTCAAACAGAACCAAAGCCAGCATTTAACCAACTCTGAAACCTAAAAACTTAAGAGTGAAACACGTTTAAGCGTCATCCATTTTTCCAACGGCAGTAATTGTAGATTTTTTTTTTTTTAACTCTATAAACAAGCCACATAAAGATATTACTACAGCAAGCTACTTGCTAACAATATAACTTCCTTTATAATCCTGCAAATACTTGAGACCAGGAAATGTGGACATCCGTTTTGAGCCTACCTTGATTTTGGAGAAGATGAAGGAGCAGTGACAGGCTTTGAGCTGCGCCTCCAGCATCTCAATGCTCAGCATCTCCCTGCTGGGAAAATAAATCAACATTAAAACACATTAAAAATCCTCATGCAACAACAAACTTTGTCAATTGAGTGGGGGGGGATTAAAGGTAAATATGGCAATAAAACAAATAAAGTGCTTACCAAGAGTGATTTTGAAAAGAAAATCTGACTTTCAAGTATTTGAGTGAACAACAAAAAAAAGGGGGCCAATTTCAATCATTGTCAAACTTAACGGGATTGTTGTCATTACACAACAAGCTATTAAGGATAACGCGACTATTTGTTCTAACCTCTCGGCGTCGAGCTGCTCCTGGATGTGGCTGTGAAACAGACGGAGGAAGTGCAGCGCCGTGGGGGCCTTCACTTTCCAGTAGAGCTTTTCCATGATGATCTTCTCCATCCTGATCATGTCAGACACCGTAAAGCGATTCTGACTAATGCGGATTAGGTCGTTGGCCAGGGGCACGTTCTTCTCATCTTCTGAGGACTTCACAGCGATGTAGAAGCAGCACAGGCCAACACATGACAGGTGCTTTGGTTGAATCTGTAGGTAACAAGCAGAGGCCTCTTTAGTGCAAAACTACTTAGTGGATTTAATGGGACTAATAGAGATGCCTCAAGAAATTGTCTTGAGAGCAGAATCTGACCATTTTTACTTTGATTAGTTTTTACTTTTACGAAAACAATAATTACTACAAAATTGCAATGGGTGTATCTCTACTAGTAACATGACATGCCACAACAGTATTCACAAACCTTCATTACAGAGAGGAATCGATCGAGCAAGCTGACCGCCAACGAGAACGTCTCAGAGCTGAAGCCAAAGAACCTGCAGAGATAAAGCAGGTCCTTCACCTCCAGCTCTCTCAGCCTGGTGGTCATCCTGAGGCCGTTGTCCTGGGCGGTCTCTATGAGCCTCAAGCCAGTGAGCTTGGGTTGGCATCGGCCCTCCAGATCCATCAGGTCCTTTACTTTTACTGCAAAGGCCTGTGCTCCAGTTACTGTGTCAATCATCTAGATAGAAAAAAAAAGGAAAACAAAACTCAATGATGAAGACAAGAATTAACTTCTGTTTGTTAAAATTGATTTTAAAACGTTTTTAAAGCCTGCAGATTGCATCCAGATAAGGTTCCACTTTTACAGACAGCTTAGGGGCTTAGGCTCGTAGATTAAAATGTAAAAACAACTCAGACTGATTAAAAACAGCAGTAATAACAACTACCATTTTAAAAAAACTTCGAAATAACGTTAATATATACAAATGAACCAAATTAGAGATTTGGCGTGACACAGGACACCTAAAGGGGGGCTGCTTCCATATTTGTAAGTAATCCAGTAGCAAGTCTCCCTCTGAACGGGACTAGAAAATAGGTAATATTACACGGATAAATATCTATGATGTGTGAGAACAGATTTTCCAATAAGGCTTTAATTGAACCCACGTCCTTTTAAGTACCTAAACCTGCATTACCCTCATAGTTTTCACACATTTTGATTATTTGAACAGGGATCGGGCCTTGCTGGGGCAGCTCCTGCGTCATGTCAGGACATGTCCCTGCCGCACACGCCAACGGAGATTGAACGCCGTTACAGATCCAATTCAGAGCAACACAGCTCAAAACACAAAATACAAGTAAAAACTTAAATATAGAGCACCGACAACATTACGGAGGTGGATATTACAAACTTTAAAGTAGGGAAAATGGTGAACTAGAAATCATACGGAACCGATTGTGGCTACCACAGCTAAGCTAGCTACAAATCATGTTTGGTGGCGTTGTTTGTTATTCGGACTTCTAAAATAAGAAAAAAAGTTGAACGGTTTGTGACTAAAACTTAGCAAGTATAATTTTAACAACATACATAAAAAATAAAATGTTAGTTTACTTACCTTGAGTAGTTGTTTTTAATATCTTGAACTAAAAGAGAAAAATCTTCACACGCTCTTAGAAAGCGAGTGTAAAAAGTTACAAAAAGCAAAAATGTGTAAGTATGAACTTTCAAGAAAGAAAGTTTTAAGCATAGATAAATTTCTGCCTATGCACACCCCCTACCCTTGGCGTAAGGCGACGGGGAAAAGGACAGTTTAGGTAAAAAAGGAGGAATAAAACCACACCGTGCCCAGACATTCTGAGCTTTCATTGGCTGGCTACTAACGTCAATTTTTTTGATTGGACAGGTTACCAATCACTCTAAACTAAGCCCCGCCCCTTTTTGACTTCAATACCAATGACAGTTGAATGAAGCCTGACAGAAAGAACCGAGCTCTATCTTGTACTTATTAGGCTATACGGACCAATATTTACGAGATTAATGTGAACTTTATCAATTATATATGACAAGAAGCGACAAAGCATTTATAGTATGAGTTGGTCTTTTTTGTATTTTTAATTTATTTAGACTATCAAAGTTTCTGAAGTTCCTGCACATAAGTAAACAGTTTAAAAAAAAAAAAGTTTAAAAAGTATTCAAAAATACAAATTAAGGAGAATTTACTTCCGGAAGTGCCTAAAAATATATTGAATAAAACATTTATATTGGGCCAACAGGAACAAACCCCCCCCCCCCCCCCCCCCCCCCCCCCCCCCCCTTCCCCCCGAAAAAAAGGCCACTCCCGTTCTC